AGAAGTTTTTAGATCAATGTTTGCAAAACATGGAAGTGATATTAAATGAACAAATATTAATCAAATAAGATATAATATGCAGATGCATATTGATTGATATATTGATATTGATATCGATTTACAATGATTGATCTTCCTCTTGCCCCATTTTCACATCTTTCAGTTGTCCATCTCCTATCAGTCCTTCACGCCTCAATATGGAGGCCACTGATCTTCCCTAAGGAGGGATCTTCCACTCTCTAAGGTGTCCCTGTTGAAGTGAGCATTAGAGTATACCAGTTAGTCTAACCAAATACTGCTAGAATATGCCATTTAATTTAATCTAATTAGAGTATATCATTGGACACATGTAGAAGTATTTGATAAATCCATCAAATATCCATAGCCCAGAAAATATTATGAGCAATATTCATGAATGTGGAAGTAAACAAAAAAGTGTTTTAAAGAATAGATGTATAAGTGTTGCAGCAGATTTTGTGAAGATTATGAATAGCAAGGCCCAAGTGGAAGGAAGTCGTTTGAACAGTTGGTTGTATTAGACCTAGAATAGGTCTTGATTTCATGCTACCTAACTATTGAGTCTTGATCAGATCCATGCTTTAGAATATAACTCAACCCAAAGTGAACAGGATAGGTTCTAGTGAAGAAACACTAGAAACTAGTAAGAAACTAGTCACTTGACCTGAACTGGGATCGCAACAACTGGGAAGAATAAGTGAATTCAAGAAAAATTATGACAGATGGAACCATTTTATCTATGAGATTATAAAGAGCATTTTTTTCTTCTTCTTTTTTAAAAATATTTTTTACTTGTAGACGGACCTTTATTTATTTATTATTTATTTATTTATTTTTAAGTGGTACTGAGGATCAAACCCAGTGCCTCACTCATGCTAGGGGAGCGCTCTACCACTGAGCCTCAACCTTGGCTCTTTTTGCCTTCTTTTCCAATCCCTGAAGCAATTTAAATATATCGTACTGTGATGAAGGAGCAAATAAAGATGAGGTCCCAAAACAAACGCATCAGGAGACACTATTTAGAGAAAGTGGTGGAGGTGACTCCGTAAAGACTTGATATTTGAGCAGAGACTTGGGTGAAGTAAGATTTAACATGTTTGCTAAGGGATGAATAGAGTTTAGTCCAAAGATTGTACGAGGAAACACATCACAGATGGAAGCAAAAAAGAGTGACATCTTTGAGAAGAGAAAGAATATCGTATGTTTCAAAGTACTGGGTGTTTCTGTAATTTAGTGAGCAAAGGAGAGAGTATCTCTGGATGAGTCTGGGGCTGTGGGTAAAAGAAGGATTGGTTATGCAAGAAAATATTAAGATTTGGCATTTTGACCAAAGAGATGTAGATGCCACTGATGCCTTAGAGACAGAGGCAGACATGAGGCACTCAAAGTCTGCTGCTAGTTTCTGTTCATAGAATTTGGGGCAAAACCAAGCATTTATTTTTAAGACATGCTTGGTAAAAATCTATTTTCCAGTGAAGATATTGAATTATCAGTGGGGAATAGAAATCTGTATTTCAAAATACAGGCCTTGGCTAGGATGTAGGTGTGGGAATCACTGCAATTGGGTAATGTTTAAAAAATTGGCAGAGAAGAAGGAGAGACTGGAGAAGTGGAGCCCTAAGTAATTTCCTGTCTTGAGAGCTGAATAAAGGAGGAAATGTCAAATCCTGCACAAGAGGGAGAAGTGGTCATAGAAGTGTGAAGAAGTCAAGTCATGACATATAAGCCCTGCGAAATGTTCAGGAAAGCTCTGTGGACGACGGCTCATCACAGGAATGAGAGTGCAAGCGAATACAAATGGGCAAAATCCTTTAGTGAGGTGCAAGTTATCCGAGCAGTTAGCAAGAACCCAGGCTGCATAAATTATAGTTAATTAGAATGAGGCTTCTGGCCGTCAAAGGAATAGAATCTCTGAAAAGTTCTGTTATCAAATTTTAAAAAAATATTTCCTACCTTAAAAAATGTGATTTATTATACTGCATAACTAGGCTGGCAGAAAGTAAGTTGAAGTTATTTCAACCAAAAAGAAATTAAAAAAAAAAAAGAAAGTTGGCTGATCCAAAATCAGAATGTTGAGAAGTATATGTGCACCAAAGGAAAGGTGACACAAATAGGCCATTGCCTGTCAAGACTGCAGCACAGACAGGGAGATTTGGAGGAGTGGCAAGGTGGTGAATGCAAATGGTCATGGCCTTCTGAACCAGGCAAGGGAGCTAGTGTGGATGACAGAGGGCTCACAGAGAAGCTAACACAGACCCATATGGAGAAAAGCATTATGTTTAAGACTTGAATTTGCCTAAGATGGGGTACATCAAATCAACAAAGGGTACGACACACCCAAGAGAATAAACAATGCAAACATAAGAATGAGTCATGAATAATTTTATCAATAAATAGATAAGCTTAAGGATTTTAGGAATTAAAATAAAAAGATCTGTTATAAGAACATCTGAAACATTTAAGAAAATAAAATTTATCATAAAAATGAGGAGTCAACAAACATGAAAGAGTAAGATAACACAAGTTTTCTCAATAAAAGATAACATCATGAAAAAAATTTTAAATATATGTTAAATAGCAAATTAGGCATGCTTAAGGGGAAAAAAATCAGTGAACTAGATTGAAAGTGTAAGATATATAAACAAACTGAAAACACATAGAGGACAGAAATGGATGTTCTCGGTCTCAAGATAGAAGAAAGGGAAGGTAGACAATGTTGGAGAGCTTTTAGCTAACATAACTAGAACCAAGGAAACATAAATCCAGGCTAGGATGAAGCAGTATAGATTAAGCAGAATAAATGACATATTGCTAAATATAAATAATTTACATTGCTGTCAGCAGCAATAGGTGTCAGACGATGTTGGAACCACGTCTTCCAAGTGTTTCAAGAAAAGTAACTGGAAATTTAGTATTGTAAAAGTATCAAATCTTCTAGCAATAGGAATAAAGGACGTTATGAGAAAAAGTTCTGAATAATCTCAACACAAAATATCAATGGAACCCACAGACATTACTAGGTTAATGGAGAATTATCATCAGATGCAGAGAAAAGTTGGATTAAATTTGCCATCTCTTCATTGTTTAGAAAAAATATATTAGCAATATAAAAGTGAACAAGTAAAACCCCTTTTATAAAAAAAAAGAGAACATAGGAAAGGATGCTTTTCAAGGTGAAATGATAAAAATATTCCCTTTAAACTTAGAAAGTAGACTGTATTTGTCTAATGTTATAAGGGAATATCTTAGCCTGTACAAAAGGGCAAGAAATAACAGCATATCTTAGAAACTTAGAAGGAATACAAACATTTTATTACTTATATGTAATAGAATTTTTTCTTATACACAATCCAAAAGTAGCTACAGATATACTATAAAATAGGGGTTAAGTAAGATTATTAAATCTAATGTCAAGTACAAACTGTTTTCTATTCTATGTGCCAGTGACAAGCAGGATGCTTAATTTTATTATAAAAATGATACTTCTTAAAATATCAAGAAAGTATAAGTTAGTTAAAAATAAATCTAACAAAAGATGTACAAGAGCCATGTGGAAAAAAATGTCATTACAAGAAATTGAAGAAGATAGACTTATTATTGCAAAAAAATGTTAATATTTCTAATATTGATTTATAGCTCAATGCAATTCCAGATAAAATCCTAAAAGAGTTCTTGGTGGGAGATGAAGGGATGATTCTAAAATGCAGATGAAAAGAGAAAGACCCAAGAATAACTAAGATGATTATACATCTATCAGAAATTACATATTTTACTACTAATTACATATTTTAATGACTTGATTAATTGAGCAGTAGTCAATTCAGTTGATGGCAGTAGTGGTGTTGTGCATGACTATAGAATCTAGGTATCCTCAGTGAATTGTTCTGAGCAACTGGTTGTCCACAGGGAAAACAAAAGTATGTCCTTACTCCACCCTATATCCCCAAATCAATTCCAGATTAAAAAAATGACTCTAAAATCTAAAACAGATATTTAACTCTTTTTGAATAACAAATAAAATTTATCTGCAAAACAAATTACAACCCTCTTAGCCTAA